TGTACCTTCTCCTCCTCTTTTATTCTATCACAGCAAATCATTTAAATAAAGGAGTTCCACTATGTTTCATCCAGTAATAGCCTAGCTACATACACTACTGCTAACCCTTACAAAAGCAGTCAATAGTGCCTTGGGATTTTTCACTTTGCACTTTCAATGGCTTAATCTGAGCTGCAAACTGAGATGCCCACCAAATTTCTGGGATTTTTGGAGGAATCCTTTGAGGTCCTTTTGTTGAACAGGAAAGCAAGATAGCAGATGTTCTGGCATATTCTGTTTCCATCAGGATGGCTGTTCCTTGCACACAAGTACAAAAGTGACAAAGACCTTGTAAAAGCCTGAAGCAGTTTAGATGGATTAAATACTCAAAGGAGTATTTAATATTTAATTACCAAAGGATTTTATTACACTGAACTCAAGTTCATTCACTGACTGTCCAGAAATCAGACTTCTTCAGACATGGAATAACATTAAGACTTTGACAGTTTTGGCAGGCTATGAATTTCAGGATTCCCGAGGAAGAAAACTAAAACCAAATATCATTTCTTTCTAAATTCCATCTATTCTTTTAAAGTCTGTCATTGGTTGCCTCAAAGCTAGAATTAGAGGTCAGCATCCCAAGCTCACTCTCTATCTGCCATGTGTCTGGGATAAATTATTTTTCAAACTAAGCTGAGCAGATCTTTTCCTGACTCCAAAAAGTGCCATCCTCAAAGACAAGCGGGAAAGAGATGTGACTTCACCTTTTAGCATGCTTGCAGGCAGCAAAACTAAAGTTAGCACAAAGGGAAAAGCCTCAATAGGCTTCAGTCTATTTTTCCTTCAACAAAACAGAACTAAAATAAACTTCTTAGCCAATAGGCTCAAAATAAAGCAGTCAATCAAAGTAGCATAGAAAGTAATGGGACCATTAGCTTGTCTTTTCTGGCATCAATCAGCTGAGAACAGTGATCAATACAATCATGTGTTCAGCATGTGACCAAGAAATAGTTGAAAGCAGTGATCACCTCAATACATAATGAATTGCCTTTGGCAGCCACAAGTGTGGAGGTACTTTTGCCATGTGCTTTACAGACAGATGACCTGCACACCATCCTAACCCTCCTTGCCATGCACTTAATGCACATTTTGCATGAAGAGGATGGTTTAAGCCTGTGTGACTACAGCTATCTTCCTTCCCAAGACAAGGGGCTGCAGCACTGCAGCATGCCAGGCTGCCCATCGCCAGGTGCCATAGCTGCCGTTAGACAGCTTTGCAGGCTCACTGGGTAACTACAGCCTCAGGCAGGTTGAACAACTTAAGTGTAACTCATAAGAATCATTAATCTAAAATGGTCCTTTGATAAATCTGCATATGTGCTTGTACCAAAAATGTTTCTAAACCTCCAATTTGCCTCATTAACCTGTAATATAATCAACCTTTCCGTTCCTGACAAGAGCACATAATGAACTATGTGCATTATTCCTGTCTACAGCTTTGTCTAAAGTATATTTGCCTACATATAGGGCTGTGCACATCTCTAAGAACTGTAAGATTATATGTATTCAAGAGGCATAGAAGGAGAATTGAATCCTGTTTTCTAAGAGGCAATGAAGTATATACATGGTTGATCCTTATAATTAATTAAGACTTAGGACTCATTAACAGGATCTGCTTATCACCTGGACTGAAGATGTTCCACTTCCTCCTTTTCAAGGAGTATCAAAATTTTAAAAGCTAGTCAGGGAATACTCCTTCAGGAAAAGATTCGAAAGAATTTCCTAATTTGAAGGAAAGGAAGATTTAAATCTGAGTATACAGATCCAGGGAAAGACCATCCTTCCTCAGCCATCTATTTGCTCCTTCGAAGGAAAATCTTGCTGAGGGAATTGTTAGCACAGGAACTGATGCTCTAGTCACGAGGCAGGTAAGTTTCCCAACAGCACAACAGCTGGATGCTACGCTGAGTGATAAGACTTCTAAAGTCTGGACAGGCACAAATGGAATTTTCCTTCCATTTCTGCTCACCTGCTTCTAAAGTCATGGCATCTTTCTCACTCATCATGTAAATATGATTCTACTTTAAGTGCTGTCTGGTGTTCAGAGTGATTTTGAAGTAATTCAGTCAACTAAGTGTTTCTTTCTTAGAGGTGGAGTGAGCCTCGAAATTGAGATACAACCCAGCCCCTGGGGAAGGCTGCCTAGGGCATGCAAAGACCTGATATATATATATATATATTTTTTTTTTTTTCTACAAAATAGAAACCTTTCTGTGATTAGCAAAGCTAGAGCTTCCTTGGCAGTTAGCAGGTTGATGAAGAGGTTTCCCAATTCTCATGAGTTTCCAGGACATGGTTAGTGTTTCTGATTTTTTTCTGCCCATTTCCCTTAGCTCATTTACAGCTCCCAAACATGTACAATTCTGTCTTCAAGAGTGCCATTTATCGATTTCCCTTTCCTGCTTCCTCCCATTCAAGTTTCAATAACAAAACCCACCACAGTACATAGCACCATACAGTACATGTGATAGTGTAGACTTGGTGTTCCTGTGTAAAACATATATCCTCATGTCACTTGCTGTAGGTACTATATGCAATTAAAGATTACACACACAAAAAAAAAAGGTAAAAAAAAAAACAACCCAAACCAAACTGAAAAAAAAAAAACCCAAGAAACCCTCAAACATTTAGCACTCTCTGCAGTTATTGCTGCACAGCCAGCATCTGATGCATTTTTACGGTATTTTTAAGAGCAGTTTATCTTCTGTACAAACCATGCCCTGACTGCCACAGAGTGTAATTTTATGCATGACCTCAATGTCTGACCCTCCCAGAGCTGTATAATGAAAAAATGATTTCAGAGCAATCCTTCTAGATAAGGCAGTCAGATAAACAGATTCAGGGCATTAGGCATGGTCTGTTCTCCAGTGTATACATTCAAGAACTTGCTGAAAATGTTGCTCAAAGTTTTCCTATTGAAAAAAATGGCATTTTGGTACTAGTTTGGGGCATTTTTTTTCCATAAAAAAGTTTTTTTAATGTTCTTAGACTGATTCTTTTTTAATTTATTACTAAAACAGCAAATTAGAAAAGACTATGATTTACAGTTTTTGATAATTTTGTGAAAAAATTTAGAAGTCCAACAAGCAGAATGCAGACTGAGACTCAAATTAAACAGTATAGGTTTTGTGTGCAGACTGTCTGCTTCAATGAGAGGAAGCCCCTACCAACAAAAGCAGTTTGCTTTAGACTCCTGAGTTTATTTCTGCCACCTCCTCCTTTGTGGCACTGAGCAAAGTGCCTTAAAAGGTTAAGGTACCTTCATGTCTGCAGAAGTGTGATGCAATACTCATGCCACCATAAAAACAAATCTGACAGCACATGTAGTTTTCAAGGATTACCTTTCATACCTTAACTAAGGAGCCTCTCTGATGGACTTGAGGGAAAAAATGAATTGTCCAAAGCTCTGGGAGAATCTTCCACATGGACACATAGCATTATATTATATAACTCACATTATCTGCAACTCCTTATTTGTCCTTAGTGACTGTAGGAAGGGCAGGATTTTGCGGGCTGTGAATGGGTTACATGGTCAATTGTTTTTTTTCCATGGGTTTTAGCTTTCTCTTTGAACCTGTTGTACAGCACCTAAGGCTGCAAATAAATTAATGTTATCAAAGACAATATCTGATATCTCCAAACACACAGAGCGTACAGCACAACACCAGTCTAAGAAAATGCCATTCCTGGATTAGCACTTCCAGGGACCTTCATTGTCTTCAGTGGGCCACCTATTTTTTTTTTTTTCTTTTGCCAGTCCTATAGTTCAATAAACTATGTGGTACCCAAAACACACCAGTTTTAACAACACCCATGAACCTTTATCAGATATTATTATCTCAAAGTAGGAAGAAGAAAGTAAAAAAATTAATGCAGCAGTTACTCCTAACTTGCCCAAGGCAAATGAGTCTTTGGTGTGTACTTTTTGTCTAGGCTTGTAGATCTCCGTGCAGCCAAGATATGTGCTTATGGGAGGGATCTCTGACTTCTTTCAAGGTGCACTGAATACTGAAAAAAAAAACCCTCATCATTTTGTAATTGGATGATTTCCCTTAACTTTTCCTAACATTACCTTGAAAAAATTATTTGAATGCCATATAGTAACAACACTATCTTTCCAATAGGAAGAGCATCTCATAGAAGATTATTTCTCAACAATGACTTTAATTCTGGATTCAGAAGAAGCTGTGAAACTCTGCCAACTATTTTTTTGCCATCCTCGTGAATTACGCAGCCAGTGGAATAAACCTTTGATGATGATTGGAATACTTGACTTTCCTGTACCTGACTAATATCGTGATTATGCTTTTGTATTTGATCAAAATGAGGAATCTGCATTGAAGAACTACACTGAGTACCTCCTAGTTTGACTTAAAAAAATACATGATTTCCCTAGGCTATAGCACTCAGTATCTAAGTGCCACTTCAAGTCCAAGTTTAGCTTATATCATAAGAACAAGTATAATGACCTAGTTTACATACTTTTTTTTTCCAGACAGAAGTTGAGACTTTCTAAGACTAAGTACCAAGTTTCGACATAGATGCAATTTTGCATTTAAAAATGATTAGACCTGCAATTAGGTGCCTACAACTAAATCCCTGACTCTTACTTAATTACAACATCACTGCAGACACAATATGAGAAGCAGCGAAATCAACAGTGACACACGCCTCCCTGGTTCCCCATTGGCTGGGAACCTGTTAGGCTTGATGGGTAAGCGCTGTAGTCAGAGAGGATTTCAAACCAAATAAATAGCAAGTCCTCCTAGCCACACAAGAAGTAGATTTCCACATGTCTGAACTTCAAACTGGAGCTGTTTTTAGAAAAACCCAACGACTTGCCATATGAGGAAACTACTGGACGAAATATTCATTCTTATGTTTTATATTACTTTTAACAGAAACTTATTTTTGAATATTTCTTAGGCCACCTCTTTTGACGTATCTTTTTCAGAAGAACCATGTCTTGCTGTGCATTACAAATCACTGGGCTAATATTTGGAGGTGTGGGCATGGTTGGGACTTTGGCAGCCACAGTTATGCCTCAGTGGAGAGTTTCTGCATTCATTGAGGGCAACATTGTGGTGTTCGAGACAATCTGGGAAGGATTGTGGATGGATTGCATCAGTCAGCTCGGCATCAGGCTGCAGTGCAAATTCTATGACTCCCTCTTGGCACTTTCTCCATCCTTGGAGGTGTTCAGAGCCCTCATGTGCATTGCCGTGGGACTGTCAATCATTGCCTTTCTGATGGGCATTGCTGGTGTGAAGTACACTCATCAAACCAAGGAGGATCCCCAGGGCATCAGTGTCTTCGTGTTGACAGCTGGAATTGCTTTTCTCCTGACGGGTGTCCTCATTCTCATCCCAGTGTCCTGGACTGGTGGGAGCATCATACACGACTTCTATGATCCGAACGTCCCTGTGCCGCTGAAGCGAGAACTAGGAGCTGCTCTCTACGTGGGCTGGGTGAGCTCTGCTCTTCTTATCACTGCAGGAACAATGTATTGTAGCTTCTGGTGCTTGGCTGATGCATCTCCCAAATCCGGGTACCTATCACCTTCCCGTCACAGATGGCAGAAACATGACTTTGCCAGGGGAAAATCCGTAAGCATGCATGCCTATGTGTGACCTTTCTGCTTAGCATGTTATGTGCTGATTGACTTCAGTGCCTAATTAAATTGTGAGCCTGTAATGGAGGAACAATTTTGTTCATTTGCTGTTTACTATTAACTCTGTACATACATGTCTATTCTTTAACATGCCCATAGTAGACGTTACACGGGCATTATGGCAGAGTTCATTCAGAAGAAAAAACTCCCACTCCGTAGAAATGAAATGTGACATAGGAACAACAGCAGCTGGGAGTCTCTCAAGATTGTGGCTGGACTGGAAGGAAAGTGGCTACTGTGCAATAGCACGACTGCCCTCCCCATAACCCATGATATGTGAAGGCTGCAGCACCCTTTACTCTAAGTTAAGTTCTTGGACACTGATGGGAAACGCTGAGTTATCGGCATGGTTGAAGGAACTGCTGAATGAAAGAAGTCACAATATCGGTACACCGATGTTCCAGTCAGTACCGGTGCACCGATGTTCATGCTCCTCCATGAGAGTCCTCCATGATTAGTCAATGGATTTCATAGACATTTGTGGGATTGATGCACCTTTATCCTTTCTGCAGGCTACAGAACACAACTTATGAAATAAAATTTCTAATCACCTCACCAGACTTTGCCATAAATATAATAGCTTTTCCACTGCCTGCTGCCTCTTGTCTTTTATGGCTTCTCCTGACCTGTAGGTAGCATCTCCTCATCCTAAAATACAGGACAGGTCATCTGTCTTTATGAACTTTAAAGCACTGGGCTAATGTCAAGTATAATTAAACAAAACAGAAATGTAAATGTCTAATCCCCACATTCCTGTTGGCAGATCAAGTGTTTCCGCCCACATCTTCCATCACACCTGCAAAACCCACGTCCTAATTTTGTTCCAGCTAAAGTTCTATGTTTGCAGGAGTTAAAATAAGATGCACACTGAGAAGCCTGGTGCCTCTTTGTCAATTCTGTGACATCCGACAGTATTTGTTTTGCAGTCATGGTTTTTTTCCCTCCTGAAAATGTGGAGCCTGATTTTGAAAGCATGCATGTCACAATGTTTATAAGCGAAAAAATAAAGGCAGCCAACTTCAAAGCAGGTTTTCTGTTCACTGGTTATTAATACAGCAGTAGTGCCTTGTACCATTCATTGATAATTTTATGACACAGATACTCAGTTTGATCCTTTTCTATGTCTGCAACTGGTATCTGAAAACCTAGGTTAATGACTTTTCGAGTTGTGCAGAGCAATGCCTCTCTATATTCATTTAACTGTTCAATTTGAAGAAGAACATGGAAAGCTGTGTTTAATTAAAAAAGCCTTTCATTAACTTGACTTCAGATGAACCTAAATGAAACAGTGCTGTCGAACACAGATATTCATTACATATATTAGCTAATGTGCATTTTCATTTAAGACAACTAGCCCAGATCTTTTAGTGAGAATTTTCTAGTCACGAGAAAACACGTTTAATGTATTCTACTCACTATGTGAAGACTCAAACTAGCACTTATGAATTCCAGGTGAGCATTTAAAAGAACATTTGTAAGTAGAATTTTAGTGTAAAATACAGTGTTTAATGTTGATTTATAGCTGCTGATGCCACCATATGTGCAGCATACACAGTACCTGCCACACCAGCTGTCAATGGGTGGAACTGACAGCTCATTTCAGCGGTATCATTCTGTTGATTTTGCTAATAACTGCCCTGAGGCCTTCCACCTACTATTTTATTCTGTCTATATCCTATAATAGTTAATTTGTTTAATAAGTAATTATTCATCTAGTAAGCAAGAATTCCACATTTTTTGATTCATTTAACTATTACATTTGTGATTAATGCATCAGAGGAAGACATTTGCCATGCAAAATTCATACTTATTAATATGTAGGTGCATGAATTTAAATGGCGACATATGCAATGTAATGTAACTTTATGTAGAAACATGTGCTTAAGAAGTAATTAAGAGGAGCATTAATCAAAGGATCCTGAATGCTTTCACTATCTGTGTTTTCATCTAGAAATCAAATTTGAATTGGGTGTGCCATCTATAGTGGAAACTTTTTTTTTTCAAAGAGTTAAAAGATAAAATTGACTTGTCTGAAGCATTTATTTTCTAAGAAAACCTGTTTTTTATGTATAACATTAAAACTTGACAGCTGTATATTACACCATCTTTCTCTTTTTTTCTAACTAACTGTTGCAAAAATGAACGCAAAAAAAATCTGTAAGCCCAAACAACTTCATCCTTGTGTGTAGGTTTGGAACCTGACCTTCATTCCAACCATATAGCCAAGCTGGATTCCTATTCGGCTGTTTGGCTTTTTATGGACACAAATGGCAATTTCCTGCCATGTGATTTATCAATTTAGACTCATGCAAATACATTGAATAGACTGGGCAATAAACTTCTGAGTTTGATGCAGGAAGAGATTTCTCACGAGGGGCTGGTCCCCAAACGTAGCAAGGGATATAACACACTGGTTAACTTTCTGCCTTTGAGCAGAACAGAAGTTCCGTTTGAGATCAATCTGGTAGGAAAATCCCTTTAAAATGTTTTGACCTCTAATTATAAAATATTTTGCTACATGAGGAATGCATTTGTTTGAATAAGTTGTATGTATGCACTTACATCTCTAAAGAATAATCTCCCTGCACAGCCGCTGATGCATTGGAGAACCTCACCAAGGTCAATCTCTCTGGCCTTGAGTGCTGACCAGAGATTGCTTCCCAGCTTCTTTCTAAGGGAGAAAATTAACTTTTTCTTTTCCCTTTCCCCAACCCCCATTCAAAACATGACTAGCTGGGAGTTGCAGTGTGGAGGTGGGAGAAGGAGTGGGAAGATTTAAGGGATTTAATGTGAAACTGTGGCATGAGAAATAAACTGCAGCAGCTCATGAAATGTCTGAGGGGATCAACCGTGAAGAGCTTAGTGTTAGGGGAGCAATGTAGGGGCCCGCACTGGCCCCTGGTGCCCATGGTTGCACCTTCTAGTTGGCTCCAGGAGGGCCTTTCTCCTTCTGGGATGATGTCAGGGCAGACCTGCTCTCAGGTACCTCCAAGTGCCTAAGACAGCTCTTGCTGCTTATTTAGATGGCTTATTTACGCCTCTCCTTCTCCCATAGATTGGGTACAGGATGCTCAGTAGCGCCATGAAGACATTCAGGGACAAGTGCCACCTCTTCACTCTAAGGCTCAGGGAGGTGGTGCAAATGAAGCAGTGGTTACATGCTGTGTGACAGGGGACCAAGAGGAAGCAGGGCATGAATAATGCCTATTGACTGGGCTTCTCTCTCAGAAGAAAAAGCCTAATATGTGGGTGTCATTTGTGCTGATTACTAAAATGTTGCTTCAAGTTTTCATGTACTGGCCTTTGGCTTTGGGGAGTGCAGGCAGTAAACTTGCTCTACTGATGTTATGTTGACATTCCCGTAGGCACAGCTGTCAGAAACTTCAGGCCAGCTGTTTCTGTTATTAACAGCTGATTAAATATTGTGGTTAAATATCTAGTTTAATATCCTGATTCTATCATCTTTAATCATTTGCAACTGCAGGACAAAATGGCTTTGGGAATAAAGGCAGACAGCTGAGAATTTGGTACATACCTGAAACATGAACGCTGTTGGGTGCCCCGCTTCCCCATTCATCATTGTTTCTTTTTTATTTTAAAGTCGATGAATGTATTTCTCCAAAGCCAGAGAAAGACAGTTTCAGACTTTTTATAATCTCTTTCCTGTTTTGGTCTTGTCTTTTACATTATGTTTTCAGTTTAGCAGATAATAAACGAAGTGGGTCTGATTCCTAGGGAAGTAAAAGACACAAATCCAGGTTAGTGCTGACTTCCAACACTTGCTTGTAAGAAGTTTCTTGAAGCAGGTCAGTATTTCAAGAGCTAGACATGAAACGTGTATTCATCTCAGAGATGAAAAGATTCTGGAGTAAATAATCCACCACTAAGATGCAGCCAAGGGAACATATTTATGGCAAAAATGACAGCTTAGCAAAACATTTCATTATAACCAAAAGATGAATCAGGCAGGTTTGGAGACAAATAAATGCATGCAAGCATCAGTCCTGATATGCACAAAGTTCCTTGGGAGCACCATTGACTTGAAATGAGTTTATGTTACAGAACGTTACCACTGCCTTGAAATCAGTGGGAAGGCTCTCAAAGCCACAAATGGGTGCTTGTGTCCTACTGATTCTTTATAGCTGTCCTTTGGAAAAAAGCACAAGATATCTTTTTAGGGGAGCCCTGTGTCACCTTTGACAGCCTTTTGTGTCACCCTGCTTTCTACTGGATTTTAGGGGAGCCCTGTGTCACCTTTGAAACCTGGCACAGAGCTGACACCAAATAAACAGTCCCTCTGCTTTCTACTGGGTATGGGAATTGTGTCTGACAACCTTTTGGCTTTCCCGACTTAAATCTCAGAGTCTGAGTAAAGCTTGAAATTTTGTGGCTATTTTGAGAAATAAAAGATAAAAGAAGAGAAGAAAGACCCTGGTAAGCAGAACTTTTTTAGCCAGAGAGATCTGTGGCAGAGCTTATTGCGTTCTGTTGCCATTTGCAGAAAATGTTCTAGCTGTCAACGAGTGCAAATCAAAAATATTCTAACACGGAAAGATTTCATTTTTAGCAACATCAAGGACCAGAAGTGGCTTGGGAAAGTACTGTATCAGCGGTGCTTAACACGCCACATTCACCCACAGAGTCAGCACCAGTGAGTGACCAGTGGTCAGGGTAGAAGGAAGCTGGTGCATGATAGTGTATTCCATTATATCATTGTAAAATGGTTAAGGTGAAAAGGGAAAATACTATATTGAGCTTAGACTTGCAGAAGACATGCAGAATACAAAGGTTAGCTGAAATACGCTGAAATCTGTACACTTCCAGACCTTTAAAATGGAAAGAGCGAGCTAGTATTGTCGTTACTCACTTTGTTCTCTTATCGAGCCATTTGCCTGTCCCCCACGACAGGTTTCTCATCTGAATGTGTCATCATTTGAACAGCATGAAATTTTGAGGCCT